CGTTATTTATTTGACATTACATAACGTCATAATGGTGTTCACGTCACGTTCTTAGGAATTAAGTTTCGCGCTTTTCAATTAGCTAACATCAAGCACTTTGCAGTGATTGAAAGAAAACGTTCAGTTTTGGCAAAACAGCACTATACTTTACAAAATTTCATGTCAGTTTTACATATTTTCGGTTGGTTATCTTAAATAAAATCAAATACTTTATTGGATAAAGCACATATATATATATATAATATGACATTGCGTAATCCAAGTGTACAACATACATGACAAAAATGTAAATAAAACATAATGCATAATAAGAGAAAATTATTTATATGCTGTAAATATAACTACAAGTCTATTTTTTGTACGGTACTTCCATTACTTATGCTAGCCTAACTGACACTAAGCATAGTTTTTAACTTCAAATTGGGTTTTTCTCATTGTTGAAGGCCGTTTGATTGCCTGTAATTGTTTACATCCACTTCATTTGAACTTTGGTGCATACCACATCTCCTTTTTTATATTCAAAGGCTTATCTCATATTTTTACAAATTTGGTTGGCATCAGCCAACTTATTTTGATTAACTAAATATAATTTAAATTTGGATGAAACGCGTCTCCTGAGTGGCTGCCAATGTTTGTCTATCAGCTCATAGACATAATTTTGTCATGTGACCGTGATGACCGTGATGTCATCAACGTGATTTACTCCGGCTTAAAATGGAAATTAGAATTAAATAATAAGTTATGACTAATATGTTTTCTGTCTATTCGAAATAACATGAAAAATGTGGTGCACACTTTGAAATAACCCGCTACGCTGGTTATTCGGTGTGTTTCACATTTTTGATGTTATTTCTTCATAGACAGAAAACATATTACAGTCATTCCTTAAATGTTACTGATTTCATAACATCATCTTTAACCAATTTTTGAAAACTTAAATCCTCCCGAAGGTTTTTGTATAGGGGACATTATAAAAGGAAGTGCACACCATATTCTGCTTTATCTCCGCAAAATTTGCAGAAACTTTCAGTTGCTAAAGTTTTTGGTAAACTGTATCACCCCGTTTCAATAGCAAGTGATTGTGCACTTATTCTTATTTTTGTGAGAAGTGATCGCTCATATGAAATATCAAAGCATTGCTTTTTTGTTATTTAATGATATTCAGGGTTATATCTGGTCTATATACCAGCTTTGATAAGTGTTTGGTATTACTATAAATTTTCACTTCGTACTATGAACATCAAAATTATTTATTTTGTAAAAATATTTCCTTTCTCTATTGGAACTGTACACGTATACCTAACAACATAATTATTTTCATTTACCTGTGTTTAAAGTTGATATTTTTGTTCGAGCGTATTGTTTTTCTTTAATTGTTTAACATTTTATACCGATATAACATGTTAATTTTATTATTCTTCCCTTAGTTTATTTATTTTGTATTTACATTGTATCATAGGTCAAATTTATTTGTTCAGTGTATGTTCAATGGTGTTAATATGTCCTTTGATTGAGTTAAGCTATTTCAGTTTATATTTTATAATGTGTCTTTCTATGTTGTAATGTTACACTATTGTTTGAGAAAAAGGGTGAAGGTTTGGTACCATTTTAAAAACGTTTAAACCCGCTGCATTTGTTTGCACCTGTCCTAAGTCAGGAATCTGATGTTCAGTAGTTGTCGTTTGTTGATATGGTTCATAAGTGTTTCTCGTTTTTTATACAGATTAGACCGTTGGTTTTCCCGTTTGAATGGTTTTACACTAGTAATTTTTGGGGCCCTTTATAGCTTACTGTTCGGTGTGAGCCAAGGCTCCGTGTTGAAGACCGTACTGTGACCTATAATGGTTTACTTTTATAAATTTTGACTTGGATGGAGAGTTGTCTCATTGGCACTCATACCACATCTTCTTATATCTATATAGGTAAGCTTTTAAGTCAAACGATGAGCAAGTTTTACAATACAATCTGAGTTTAACAGTGCTGTGTTATTAGATTTAATGTGCTCAAATTGATATAATATTTAATAATTTATAAAAGTTTTTAAATGACTCTCTAGGAATCAGCCAAACAATGAGAAAAGCCATTATACCTTATATTCAACTAAACAAGAAGGCCCTGACATGAAAAAAATGTAAAACAATTCTAACATGAAAACTAACGGCATAATTTATAACAATGCAATTTATGAAAAAACATTTGACAGGCATGAACCAACGACAACCACTGAATTACAGGCTCCGACTCCTGACTGCTACTACTAGCTATATATTTACATGTTTGTTTTTTTTTTCTGTTTCTTGGTTTTTAGGTTCGGTTCTAATATTTTCGTTAATAACTGCTTAATTTCTTTGATTAATACTGTTCGATGGTATATTTATACTATTTGTAACTATCATTATATATATATATTTACAGAATAAATAATAAGAGGGCCCTTCAGAATTTATATAGCTAAATGGGGAAATATAACTCACGAAAACTTATTCCAAAACAATACCGTATGTGTTAATTTATATGTGTACATCAATGCAATATTTACACATATTTAGAAAAGATCTTTTATTACATCTTTCTTTTATATTTTTCCCCAACTTGGCATTTTACACTCAATATATTTAACACATGAAGTATAAGGAAAATGTAGATCTTTGTTTGAAGCATCGTATTCAGTATCAGCATGATATGAGTAAAAAATTATACTTGTCTAAAATTTAAACATCGTAAGGTGTTACTTCATTGAATAAATGTGAAGGAATTTCAAAATTTGCCGTTTTTAAAGATAGCACACTCTTTTGTTCACGTCCCAAGTCAGGAGTCGGAGCCTGTAATTCAGTGGTTGTCGTTGGTTCATGCCTGTCAAATGTTTTTCATAAATTGTATTGTTATAAATTATGCCGTTAGTTTTCATGTAAGAATTGTTTTACATTTTTTCATGTCGGGGCCTTCTTGTTTAGCTGACTATACGGTATAATGGGTTTTCTCATTGTTTGGCTGATTCCTGCTACTAACGTGTTTCGAATAACTGCATAGTATCTATTCATTTTTGCACATAAACTAAAGCCTATAATTGCTAATAAAACATAAAAAAAATATTCAGAATACTGAATGCTTTTTTTATGCCAATTTAACAATTCGTATCAATAAATTAATTGTAGACTTATTTATCTATATACCACCGTAGACTTTTTCGTTGTTTAATTCATTTTTTTTCAAACAAGTAAAAAAACCAAGACAAGCACTAAGTTCAACACTTAGTATATATCAGTGTCCCTCCCAATCTAAAAGAGTTGAGGACATTTGTTTGAAATATTTATAAAACCAAATAGCAAATATTTTTGTTTGTACTTTTCAATGATTATTTGTTCATGTTGATTTTGTTTTCTGATTGTATGTTATCTTATCAATACGAAGCATTTAAAAGGTTCATTCTAAAATTTGATAGCCGCGCTATTTTGCCTTCAACTCAATTACGACATAAAATGACGTCAAATAATATTTGACGTAATGATGACGTTTTATGAAAAAGATGGATAAAAAGAAAACAACAACAAAAATAACAACCACATAATGAATAAAATATATAAAATGTATTCAATAAATGAAGGAAAGGTTTTTTTTAGAAATATTAAAAAGTGAAAAAATAATCGATTTTTTTTCCACAAAGGACATATATGTCCTTCCCGCAGTAAGCCAGGGGAAGACATATATGTCCCTGCCGCAGTAAGAGGGTTAAGTGGATTGATGATCGGACGTATACTATTACTAACAATCTTCATTTAGTTTTGTTTGGATGGCAAACAATGAGGCATCGATGGCACATATTTCCCATGAAATACCTACGTGATATCACTTTTATCACAAGAACGCCGCGTCGGTTTGCAAATATATATATACTTTTTAATCATTTGTTTTTCTTATTCCTAGAATAGATAATTAAAACGGGGAATGGGTAAAAGAGACAACAACCCGACCAAAGAGCAGAAAACAACACAAGGCCACCAGTGGGTATTCAACGAAGCGAGAAAATCTCGCACCCGGAGGCGGGCTTCAGCTTGCCCCTAAATAGTTCAGCGAAATGGACGCCACACTCAACTCCAAAACATACAAATGAACCAAAATTATAAAAAAAAAAAACACAAAACTAACAAAGACTATATAGCTTTCTGATATGACTTGGGACAGGCGCAACAATGCGGCGGGGTTAAACATGTTTTGTGAGATCTCTACCCTCCCCTACACCTCTAGCCAATGTGGAATAAACAAACACACAGCAGAATGCACAGGACAACTAGTTCAAAAGAAGTCCGAGTCCAATGTTAGAATAGGTAACAGAAGGAACTAAGCAAAATGATAATGATAAACACAAATTAACAAAGGACTACTAGCTGTTATTCACATGCTAGCTCCAGACTTCAATTAAACTAATTGAAATATTATGTCTTCATCATATGAAAATCAACCACAATCCCTCTCGTTATGGGTTTAGTATCATGCCATCATAAATTATACGAGAAGAACATAACCGTATCATGCCAACAACTGGTTTTAGAATGAATGTGTTTATTTCCTATGCAAAGACCCTATGAGTGAATCAATATAAATTCTAAAAACTGTAATCTTTAATGACTTGACAACAGTATTATATAACCATATCCCTTGTGAAGAAGTCTATTTAAAGGTTTGCCTTAAATTAGGTAGCTTTAAGGTGAATGACGACATTTTAAAATGATAAAATTTAGTAACAGTTGTGACAAGTCCTGTCTATAAATTTATATTAAATTATTTTATAAAACGTTGACACCAAGATTTCAACAGTGGAGAAATACTGATAAAGTATATGTTCATGTCATTAATTTCTAAAGTATCGATGCCTTTTTAATCCAATGAATAATTACCATTCAGATAACAAATATTAAATTGTTGAATTTTAAATGTATACATGTGAATTAATTTAAGTCTTTTTTCAAGAAAATAAATGAAAAAATCTACTACTAGTGCATGCGATGTTTATAACAACAGATTTTGAAAAAAAAGTTATGTGTGTCATTGTTGGTGGATATTTTTATTATATCAGCTGTTTACGTAGTGTCGTATTTCATTTCAACCATACTTCAACACCATAATGATCCGACAATGGGCCTCCATTCACGAGTTTGTCATCATCAAATATTCTCTACAACGACAAGAAATCAAATATATAAATAAGGTGCTTTGTTTCGATTTTATCAACAAACACCATGGAATCGGGATCACTTAGTGGTGTGCGAATCATCACCCTATAAATTTTGAAAAAAATATTTTCCTATGAAAAAAAAAGATATTGATTAATCAGAGCCAATAAAAATGTCCTGACATAGAATATAATTAAGAATTTAAAAGGACTTCCATACGTCATACACGTCATCGTTAAAAGCTAGAATTTAGAAAGGCAAAACACCCCCTTAAATCAAGCTACCTGCAGCGACTCTTTTCACAAAAAAATCTTACGATTAAAACTTATCGTAAGTTATACTGAAATGTGTATGACTTACGAGTAATTTTACTCTTAAGATTTTTTGTGAAAAGAGCCGCTGAACTATAGATTACGTCAGAAAATAAATCACAATTAAAGGAGACCCGCATACATGAATTAGCCTTTTAGCAACCAAACACAAATGACCCGGCCACTATTATTAAATTCTGCCAGTTGAAATCGTACTTCCACAAAAGTTATCTCTGTGTGATAAAATAAAAGTTTTGCGCGAACTCCTTCCTTTTGATTATTCATTGAACATTGATGTCCCCGAACCTGTACACACCCTTGAATTAATTGCTGTATATCCTTTGTGCATGACATGATCAATGATAGCACTGGTACCAGCAAACGATGGTTTTCCTGTTATCTCCACATATGGCGATTGCATACCAGATCCTATTAATTTGTTGTACGATCCTGTAAAAAAGAATCGCGAAAAATTACCAACATAAAATTGTGATACCAAAATCAGCATGAAATGCTTTTAGACTTAAACCATGCTTACATTTGTTCTGCCTCACTCATGCCCTCTTATGCATAACTCATCTATCTTTAATCACAGACGCTTGTGGAAGGACCCCCTTTTTCTAAATTTTTGTTTTTGTGCTTAAATTATTGTTTTTAGCAGATATTCTGTTATATTCGACTTATTTTAACTTATTTGATGTGTCATGCTCTTTTCCATACGATATTACATTAACAGTAGTTTTTTTTTTAATTTTGACCCTCTATAATAATATACATTAATAGAGCGTCAAAATTAATAAACTACTGTTATCGTAATATCGTATGGAAAAGAGCAAGAACACATTAAATAAGTGAAATCAAGTTAAAATATTACAGAATATTTACTGAAAAAAGTTTAACTTATCAAATATTAAAATTAAAACACCAAAAATATATATAAACTTTGTCTTTGATTCCAGATTTCAGAATTATATAAATTTCTATTATAAGACCATTTATATCGAAGAATTTAAATGTTTTCCTGAATTTTAAAATATACTTTGTCAGAAGACAGGAATATATGATACCCATAGTATTATCGAGCCAGAAAAAGAACATACAATTTATTAGCAAGTATACTAACTCATGTATCACGTAAACATACTTTGACGATTTTCGTCTCTATTTAGGTAGGATTATGGTAACAAGTGGAGCTTCGTCAGATTTCCGTATCTTTTGCACAGTGGTCCAATTTGATTATTTACATCGAAATTATGAAGTAAGAAGGGGGTCTATATCGACGGATATGTAAGACAACTCATTAAAGGAGATTTTGCCCTTAAATGAAGATTTTTAGAATTTTTTTTGCCTATTATCTCGAAACCTATAACGGATAAAGAGAAACTATAAAAAGCAAAAATGATCAATAAAACAAGATCTACAAATAAGTCAGAATTACCAGTCGAGTCTTTATAGGAGTTATTGTCTTTTATATGAGGATTTTTTCCATTATTTTGCATTTTTGGCGAAAACTATAATAGTATAGATAAAGACAAATTGTCAAAAGATAAAATGCTGACTACGACGAGATCTACAAATAAGTCTGCAAAGTCGAAATTGTCAGTTGAATTAGGAGTTATTGGACTTAAATGACTGTGTTTACGAAAAAAAAATTATCATAAAAGCTTGCTCCTAGTGATACTCTCCTCTTGGTGAAAACTTTTTTAATAGTCTGGTGTTTATAACTCCGGTACCATTTAAAATGATTCTATTGTATAACTTTACAATAATCTATACTTGTATATGATATTATTTTCACCTTAACACACAAAGCTAATAAAAGACATTTGTTTAATTCACTATATATAGTGATCAGATGTACCTTCAAAGTGGGCTGCTATGTTTTTATTAGGAATAGCTGGTCCATTGTTCAGGTCCCCCATAACTATGAATCTTGCTTTACTTTTGTTAAAGTCTATGATATATTGTACTTCAGATGCGTTTTCTTCAGCCCAACTAGAAAATGTACCTTTGGTTATCGCTGAAATAAAGGTAATTTTATGTGAATTCAGTTTATGTTTTTTCTTACACATTTGAAATGAAGAAAGAATTGATTTAATTTATCAAATACATTTATTTATTCTTTTTGTTGTATTCTAGTGTCAACACATTTGAACCTCCTAACGTATTCTAAAACATGTGATATATCGAATCTTTAAGTTTCTATTTCTGTCAAATAAAATCGTATAGAATAGAAGAATAGAATAGAATAGAATAGAATAGAACATTTTTCCAAATTACATGGCCCACTAAGAGCATATACAGCAGATACAATGAATAATTGAGTCAACAATAAGACATTACAATAAGACATTATATATAAAATAATACATGTATCACCATAAGCCTCATTCAGAATCAGAGCCAAAAAAGAATTAAAAAAAACCACAATAAAACACATTGATATTAATTACCAGTTTCAAGACTTTTTCCCCTTAAGTCAAAGGAACTACCAATAAAATTATCTATGTCTTTCTTCCATAATAATAATGTTTTCTTGTGTTAATAACCTACAAATTTGGAAGATTTATTTAAATTAAAATAACAACTTACGTTCAAAATAAGGTGTAGATTGATCATGTGTCAGATGTGTACATATAACTGAGCCAATGGAATCAATCTTAAATGGAAATGTTGACATTATTCAGAACAGATTTTTCAGTAAATAAGTAAGTTAAGTCATTTCATTGAAAAAAAGACCAACTAGACTATCTTATACAGCATGGTAATATAACAAAATAACAATGACCAGTTGCAGAAACACTATAGTGAACAACAAAATTGTAAAACACGGTTGACGTTGATAGTAACTCCTTTGATAAATATTCTTCATTGCAATAATTTAATCAAAGTACTGAAGTACTGAATATCGGATGACCGCAAGTTCTTGTGGATTGTCAAAAGCACTTGTCACAGAAAAAAATCACATCTCTATACCTGAAACTGAGGTTAATGTTCAGAGATATTTTTTTTTCTGAGACAAGTTCGTGCGTGGATGATGAATAAATGACAGGAAATTCAACCTCACCGTAATAACTATTATATAGTAGTGATACAAATCAGTATACACTGGTTTGTTGTTATATATTATATTAATATAACAGTTACATGTATATAAAATTTTTATCCATTTGTATATCAGTCTATTCTACTATTCTAATAAGAGTGCAGTGCAAGTGCATGGTGGACACTCTTCTGTAAAATTTCGATTTTTCTAAAAGATTGGATATGAGTAGGCATTCATATTTTCCCGCAAAAACAATCTTCCATGCAGAGTTACCGGTCCTTGCCGGGATTGTCGCAAAATGTTCCTGGGATATTCTTCCGCATGCTTTACCATATCAATGATTTTTTACTTACGACAAAACATTTTCATATTTATTTATTAATTTATGTTCTAAACAAAAATATTGTTATCAGTATTCATTGAAGAGATGTATTTATAACAAACGATAAGGAATGTTATTTTGCACACTCGTTAATATCCGCGTATTTCTCATGTTTATAGATCGGTTACAAACCTAAAACGAAAGTTACGTAATGGAAATCTAGGCGATAGCAATACATCGGAATGCCCTCACGTTTTACAACCACAATAACTAAGATTCGTATATTAAGAAAGAATTTCATGAAAATATAGTTAAGTAAACCTTAACAAATTGAATTAATGTTATGCATTAGCGATGATCATATGGCCCACTAGAAATTAATTATTTCGGTGAAGTGGGACTAGGTGTGCAAGGTGCCCCTCACCTCATGTTCGATTTTTTTCTGATTCGTATAGGCATCGTGGCAGAGGCGTTAGATTCTGATCTTAATTGACTATGATTTCCAGTTTTCCTGCCGAAGGTCGGTAGTTCTATCCGGGCATTCAACTTGAGTGTCTACAGAGTGCGAAACAAAATAGAAACGGAAACAACTAAAATACAAAACGAAACGAAAAGAAACAAGAGTGCACATGCTGAAATGTCTCGCCTGCTGTACTGACCATGATTGGTTTAATGTTGAAAGTTTGAAAAAATAAAGGTTTTACTGCAAGTATCCCATAAGCTTAACATTATCAATGGTTGATGACAATAAGGTCAAGGTCAAACCCTGGCAGACATACATGTACACCTTCAAATCATTCCATACACCAAATATACAGTATGTATAGTTGACCTTTTGCTTATAGTATCAAAGAAACAAACCAAACTGTGAAAACTTAACATTGACCAATGAACCAGGAAAATGAGGTCACGGTCAGATGATACATGAGAGCCAGACACATGTACATTAATTGCCTAATGTTTGCTGATGATTTAGTATTATCATCATCCAGCGAGGCAGGTTACAAAATTGTGTTACCAAATTATCCAGCTTTACCAAAGACTGGAATATGGTTATTAATTATGATAAAACTAAAATAATTGTGTTTAACAAAGCAGGTAGATTAAAAAATATAAAAAATACTTATTGTAACAGCCTTATAGAATGTGTTCAAAAAGGGCTAACATTTAGTGCATCAGGTACATTTTCACATGCCAAAGAGGATTTAAGTAAAAAGGGCATGAAAGCATTATTTAAGCTGAAGACAGCGAAAAACCAAATATTACTACTATTTCATGATTTATTTATTCACACAGTGAGGCCAATACTTTTCTATGGATCAGAAATTTGGGGGTACACGTCCTCCAAAATATTAAAACTGACCCTGAAAACTTTATTTTAAAAGAAATTGACACCGTCTCAGTTGAAATAGTACATACTAAATTCTGTAAATTTGCACTTGGTGTTAAAAATAAATCATCCAACTGGGCCAGTACAGGTGAACTAGGAAGTTATCCAATCATTATGTATGTTTTTCTTAATATGGTTAAACGTTGGTGTTATCTAAAAAAAATATTTCAGATAAAAATGGTATATTATATCAAGCTTTTTCAAGAGTCTATTACAATGGATTCAGAAAATAAAGAATCCTGGCTAAGTAATATAAGAACACTTTTGTCTGATCTAAAACTTGATTATTTATTCCATATGCCTAGTTCATCTAATTATATTATTATAAAAGTAAAAAGTTCTCTAAAAACTGTATTTAACCTGAGACTACTATAACACTGTGTTATAGTAGTCTCAGATTTAACCAAATTTGGTTAAAAAGACTTTTTAATGATAATACTAGACATTCCAAAGTTGGGAACAAGTTAAGAACATATCGTAAATTTAAAAACATTTTCAAATTAGAAAAATATTTAAGTTGTGGTAATGAAAATGAAAGAAGGTTATTAACTAAATTTAGAGTGAGCTCACATAACCTAAACATTGAGAAGGGAAGATGTTGTAACTTGAATATTAGTGAAAGAAAATGTAACATATGTAAAAATTCTTTTGAAGATGAAATCCATTTTTTAAATTCAATGCCCCGGCAGTAGTACTACAGGCAAACAGTACGCAAACCATATTTTGATCAATTAAAAAATAATAAGAAGAATTTTAGTAAACTTTCTGATGAAAACAAATTAATTTGGCTTTTAAGCAATGAAGATGTAGACATCATTTATATAATTCATAAACTTTTAAAACAACTGTCCAAACAAAGAAATGCAATAATGAATAATTGACTTAAGAGCTGTTCCCCTTTATTATTATTTTTTTTTTATTGTATGAAATTTTTGTGTTCCAAGTGGAATCCATTTTGCTGGTTTTTTATTCACCAGTTGTGTATATGTTGTGTACAAATTGTAATGTTGTACAAATTATAATTTGTACAGTATTTTTGTACAAGTTATCAGTATTTTGTGAATATCTTTAATAATTAGATAAAATAAGCACAGAGTCTTTGGTTAAGCTTATCACTGTTTTATTTCCACAACTACATGCTACAGTCTTGCACATAGTACTGGCACAAAGTTTATACAAAAACACTAAAATGTATTTTGTGGACATATAATTTGGTATTAGTAAAACAATAAAAATATAATCTAAACCAATCAGGTGTCCTTATTTGTAGTTTTATGACATAGAGGACAGTGCCTAATGTTAGGTTGAAGTATATAAACTTGTGAGTAAAACATCGAACTGGATAATTATTGAAGATAAACTTGTATCACCTGGTGAAAGAAGGTGTGTGTCAAAATACTGATAACTTGTACAAAAACCCTGTACACTGAATTATAATTTGTACGAAATTACAACTTGTACACAACATATATTGTATGCAGTTCTTTTCTTTAATAAATGTATATATGTTCAATGTTTTAATCTACTCAATCATTCAAATCATGTTAAGTATTGTATGTTTTGTCTTGTAGTTAATTAAACTGTTAGACAGTAATTATTCTGCCCTAATAAGGGCACTGTGATTAGTCAATAAAATTATTTGTATTTGTATCTGTACACCTTACAATCATTCCATGCACCAAATAAAGTTGACCTATTGCTTATAATATACAAAAAAACAATCTTAACCAGGAAAACTAAATATTGACCAATGAACCATGAAAATGAGGTAAAGGTCAGATGAACTCTTCCAGACAGACATGTAAACCCTACAGTCTTACACCAGATATAGTTGACCTATTACTTACAGTATCTGAGAAGAGGTCCAAACTAAAGAAACTTAACATTGACCAATGAACCATGAAGATGAGGTCAAGGACAAATGATACCTGGCAGATAGACACGAACACCTTACAATCATTCCATACACCAATTATAGTTAACCTATTGCTTATAGTATTTGACCAACACATAAAAACTTAATGTGACCAATGCACTATGAAAATGGATCAAGGTCAGATGATACATGACAGAATGACATGTACCCATTACAATCATTCCATACAACACATATAGTTCACCTACTGCTTATAGTATCTGAGATACGGACCTAATCACGTAACTTTAACTTTGATCACTGATCCATGAAATCAGGTCGAGGTCAGGTGAACCCTGTCAGGGGAACATGTAGATATTGCATCAAAAAAAAGTTATACTATTACTCATGATAAGTGAAAAAACTATAAAATTTTTGAAGCAGTCGCTGAACCATGAAAATCATGTCAAGGACCATGGACGGACGGAAACTTCGTAACATTAGGTATCTACATACGAGGTATGAAGCATCCATGTCTTCCACCTTCTGAAATATAAAGCTTTATACAAATAGTTTACACCGCTGTCGGAAATTTACTTGCAACCCGGCAACATTTTCACAGGCACTTGTCTCTGAAAAAAATTCGTATATAACTTAATATAACGCCGAGATATATATATGAGAGGGGAAAGATACCAAATGGACAATTATAATTAACCATTTACTGCGAGTCTTATATTTCCAATCGGCTGTGGGTAGACGAAATAATTAAGGTTGACATACTTAGGGAGGCCTGTTACAAATAATTCCGACAACAAAGGTAGGCGTGTTATACACCATTGTGTAGATAAATCAATTTAGATTTACGGCATAACAAGTTTTAGTGGGGTTGACAACCGAGAAATCGAAATATAACGGAAGTTCGCGACCGGGTGACATTTTTCAAAAATGCGAGTTAAGTACCTTGTGTTATATTAAGGTTTATAGAAAAAAAAATTCAGAGACAAGTGCCTGTGTTCTATCTGTCTAGAATGCGACAAAAATAAACTTTATGACCGCTTGTCATTGTTGAAGGCCGTACCATGACATATAGTTGCTTATACGTCCACGTCATTTGGTATCTGATGGATAGTTGTCTCATTGGTAATCATACAACATCTCCTAATTTTTTCTATTTATGACTGTTAATTCCGTCGTTGTTGTTTTGCATTTGGTATACATCTCATATGTTAATGTTTTTTCCAACAAAAAGTATTAAATCAAAGCAGTTGGAAGGGGCTTGACTCATCAGATGGCATGAAGCACAAAAAAAAACAAGAAAAAAAGTCGAAGACACACAAGTACTGATCTTAAAATATTTGCCGTTCCTGAAAACTAGTTCAAAGCCAATTACAACTAATGAATAAATCATGCTTCCCAGAATAAGATATCAATCAGTGCACATCCAACGGAACAACGTCACGAAGAGTCTGAAATAGCACGACTTGTGTAATGCTATAATATAAGTATCGACAGGATGTAGAATTTTTATTTTATATTGAAAAGGTAGTATTCATGACCATAAATGAGAAAACAAATCAGTTTTCTTTATTTTGACAGATAATTAGACTTGATATTAGAGCACGTGTTCATGATTACAACAAATGTACACTGCAGCGCTTGGTTTTTAGGAAGTCAAAAACTTTGTCAAATGTGAATTGATTTTTCCAAAATTTGCAGAAGCATCTAATTTGTTTCAAATGCCAAATCTTAAACATTTTCCATCATGATTTCATCAAACAAACGAGCCTAATTTGTGTGCATCAATTTGTATGATATGGTCAACTGGCTGTAGTTTTATATTATGCTGTCGTCTTAGTGTTCCATACAACCATTCCGAATTTTATTAGCTTATCTGGCAAAAAGGGCCATCTGAGTCATCACTAACCGACCGTTCGTCCGTCTGTCCGTCCATCTGTCAGACCGTGTGGGGCAAATTTTACACATTTTAATCTCTGGAAACTAGGGCCAATATTGCAAGAATTCATGATTGTTCATAAATGATCCTTGAAAAACAGTTTTCATTTATTTCCAATTTTAGGAAACACATTGTCACTCACGACAGATTCAGTTTTATGTTGTAACTTGCCGATTTTCCGAGTTTTCATCTTCAATCAAATTGTGTTTATTGACGTTGACATGGAACACTTAGGTACATTCAACTCTTTTAAAGTGAAATAAAAGAGCGAATATATTTTATTTCGTTTCGTTTCGTTTTGTTTCTTTTCATCTCTTTTTGTTTCGATTCGCTTTCTCCTCCGCCAATAAAAACTGACCGCCACAAAATAGCCAAGAGCGCTTAAAGTGGCAATGAAAACCATCAATCATAGGCATAATTATCCTGTAGGTACTTTCGTGTTCCCTTCTTAATAATTCTGGAACCGCAACTCATATGTGAGGTAACATGACTTGGTGACGATCTAAAACCCTATATACACGGTTACAAATTTGGGATATTATTTTTAAATTTGAGCCTATATAAATACATGAAAGCATTTTTTTTGGATAATACGCCAGTGGATGCGTTGGATATACCAGTATGTGATGGTTCTTCCTAAATTTTGTGATTACTAGTATTGTGTCGATTTAAAAAAAATGATTACTGAACATAGTTTTAACATCGTATCATATTCGATTGATGTGAAAAGCTTCTTTTAAGAAAATGAAAACGGGCAATAAATACAAAGTGGTTCGACCCGGATAGGATCAATGGAAACTGGAAAATTTGGACCAGTCGAAAAAGAGGACTGTTGAATAGGGACACCAATTTGGCCTTAATTGCAATGAACATTCCAAACCTCCTATAAGAGTTGATGCAAGGGTTGTTAACGTGCAGGAAACACTCAATTCCAACCACACTCAATTCCAACCTAACGTGGCTGTCTCTTTATGCTTCCGATAAGCAACCAAATGGATAGCCCTCTCATCACTGGTCTAACTGTCGAACTGGGAATTGTTCAGATAGATCAAATCATGCCAGAATAACCTGCGTACGTATGAATCAATGAAAAATACAGGTAATGTCATCGAAGATAGCCAGGTGTATTTGTTCCTTTCAATATTGTCTTTTGATGAAATGTATTGTGAATTGGTTAGAGAAGTTAAACATAAAAATTATGAAAATGAAACGAAGGTTGTTAATTATAAATGTTTATACATTAAGATGCATAGGGCAAGACAAAAAAACATGCATGGTATCCTTCCATAAAAAAGGCGCAAACAAAGCATAAATGCTTTGAATAAAAAGTATAGTGGGCATTCATTAAAATGATGGTATTTTTCTGATTTAAAAGGTAACGAGTATGAAATACAAAAGTATTACATTTTGTTCATTTAAAAATATATCACTTGTACATAAGAACCCATTTTTATAGCGTTGTGTATGTTCTGCATAATTTTAACCAATCGTGAAACTCTGTATGAACATGATTTTTATATATTTTTTAACATACTATAACTCTCCTACAACTTCTTCAAAACCATAGAGTACACGTAAAAAGTAAATTTACCTGTTTCATCTATTCAATCAAGTTATCTTACCTTATGTTCGAATTATTAATCTACCGGGTTTATGTTTTCGCCACTCTGCACCCGGAGACCTCATTCGAGTTAAAGTAAGTACAGCGCACTTTTGTCTACAGTATATCGATAATTTGTTTCAAAATTAATGTATTAGATATGTTAATGATACTCACATCGGCAGAAATCAGCGATCTCGAAAATATTTGTTTTTTATTTGGTAGGAAAGGTTGATGTATTGTGTTTCGCATTGGTTTCTTACTCAGCAAAATAAGACCTTGAGGATTGAAAAAAGTTGTAGAAAACCGGAAACACCCTCTAAATATTCTCCCGAAACTTGGAAATGCATGACCTAGGCAAGATATACATTCCTGGCTTAAAGTTGGAAAGACATTGCATTTCTGGTCTGCACAGTTAACTATATCCTCTAATTGACCTCTTATATTGCATCTTATAACAATGCATACTATTCTAACATAACTCGGCAGTCCATAGCATGGTGGTTGTACAATAGTATATTTATCAATCTGTCCATCCTGCCCGTGTAGTTTACTATAAGAGTGTGGGTATACAGTCTTTAATTCATTCACAATCTTTTCTACGTCACTCCCAAGCAAAACCTATTTTATATAAAAAGAAGTACAAGGGTTTATTATTCTTAAAAACGATATTTTTCAGCTTTTCATACCGTTAAAAAAATTATATGGGGTTCCGCGGAACCCTGTGTCTCGCCTACGATTGCTGCTGTCAGTGTAAACGTGTAATGTCTCTGATGTAATGTTGACTTAAAAGTGAGTCCATTTGTCAGTAAAATACAAAATTTAAAAACAACTTCAAACTTTTTCTTTAGATGCTATTTCTTGGTCTTGAAGATTAGCTTCTGTTCAAGTTTCATAACAATCCATGAAGGTTTACAAATTTATCATGTAAAAACAATTTAATCTCAGACTGTCTGTAATTGTTAACTGTAAAAAACGAGGTCCATCTATCAAAAATATACTAATCAAAGTACTGAAGAACTGAACATCGGATGGCCGCAAGTTCTGGGACATGGTCTCAGAAAAATAATCATATCCCTATACCTGAAAGTTAGGTTAAGGTACATAGATATATTTTTTTCTGAGACAAGTTCCTATGTGGGTCACCGTAATAATTATTATATTGTAGAGATATAATCATTTGTTATCAGTATAATCTGGTTTGTTGCGTGAACCCTCAGGCATATATATTAATTGATGCTGTACCTTTTGAAATACCGGATATGCCTATTGTCTTTTCGGAATACATCTGTTCTTTTCAGTGGCCAGCTGCGTAATAGGTAATTAATGGACCAAATGACTATGTATAAGCGTCTTACAGTTGAGATAAGAGATAGAGATAAGTGTTAATCGAGACTGATTGATATTTTACATCAGTAGTTAATTGAATTATAGTCGCATATGTTAAGTTTTCGGAAATACAAGCTGTGTAATTTATATAAATATTGGGCATTAGATTTTTAAGCGAAAAAATTACTGTCAATGGTTAGGCGTTTTTTTAAGATTTCAAAACTGAGCCATTTTTGCGAAATTAAAAAAAGAGTTAAGTCCGTTTATGAAGTCATTAAAGAGTTTTTAAAAATTTTTAATTAAAAATAAAAAAAAATTGAATTATTATAATCATATTATTTAATTGGTAAAATATTGGAACAACATATCTTTTATCGTTATCATAATACAAATTGAAATAAAAAGACAATATATTAAAGAAAAACAAAGTGAACCTTAAAGAATCGTTGAGATGTGTAAAATGCAGATATGAGATGCTACAACGAAATATTTCATTTTTAATAAACATTTAACTAATTAAATATTTTTAGCGGTATGATGATGATTCTGAAAGAATAATTAAATTTTAGGACTTGATGTCTGAGATGACGGATAATAGAAAAGTTGATTATGCATAAATTATGCAATAGCAGGAGTGAAATACTAATACAGGGTCAGAGATAAAATAAAGATTGTCTTTTATAGGGACTGAGTGATGATAGATACAGTCAGAGATAATATAATGAATTTCTATTTATATTAATTAAGGCTCTACATTTGTATCAAAATATAAATAAGGGAAAAAAGGCAATAATTAAAATAAAAGACAACGCATTGAAATCAGGCAGTTAGTTTTCTCGTATGAATTGTTTTACATTTATCATTTCGGGGCATTTTGTAGCTTAAAATGCGGTATTGGTTTTGTTCATTGTGAAAGGCCGTAAGGTGACAATAGCTGTTAAAGGGAATATTCGCGATTTTTTATTTATAGTTTAAATATGTTCATTATAACATAAAATGCACAATCACAAAGATTAATCGCAATATGTGCAGTAATAAACATCATACCACATCTTCCTTTTTTCATGATACTTAATCTTATTTTAAAATACTAGTCAACCCTGGAAATTATGACGAAATTTAATGGCACCTTATAGTTGTGTTAAATGCAGAAATTCTATGTCATATCGAAACAGCTCATAAATGAATATGCGTTTGAGTCCTTAAAATAATTCTATAGATATGAAACGATTTACAGACATTGAGTGATATTCTTTGGAGTTAATTGAGGTGACGACTCTCTATTCATTTAAAACTTATACATAAATTAGACCGTTAGTTTTCTCGTTTGAATTGTTTTACATTTGTCATTTCGGGACCTTTTTATAGCTGACTATGCGGTATGGGCTTTGCTCATTTTTGAAAGCCGTACCGTGACCTATAGTTGTTAATTTCTGTGTCATTTGGTCTCTTGTGGAGAGTTGTCTCATTGGCAATCATACCACATCTTCTTATTTTTATATGAAGTAAAAAAAAATAAGGTCTGAACTATTTTCAAACTGGCTACAAAAACTAATAATCATGATTCATTTCATTAAACTACTGTTTTCACAGTTACATTTCGACTTCAGCCAGGAAGCTACCTCTGTTCCAAAAATAGCACATCAGAAAGGAATTAACATACAGTGGTTGCTTCTTATTTATCATGTTGTAATGTTATCTCTCGGAAGCGACTGAGGGATGGGAGAGAGAGAAATTATTTCTTTAACAAGAAAATTATGCCCAACATAGAACATCAGTTTAAGAATCCATGTCAGTTTATCTACATCTTATATAAAAAAGAAATGAGGTGAAATCATGCATCTTTATAAAACAATTATCTGCTGAGATTATCTGATCTTTCATTCCAAACATGCATTTAGGTTCACGATTGCATTTCTTTCTTTAAAGAAAGCAACTTGTTGTTATATATTGTATTAATATCTGTATAACAGCAGGAACATATACGTATTGATTTAACTGTTCCCAGATAACAGTTATATATATAGCAGATCATCTCTCGAGATATTCTTCCGTATACGTTAACACAAATTTTCGGTATTCATGATTTGTTACTGATATATATATTTCTCACGACAAAACATTTTCATGTCATTTATCTATGTTCTTAACAAATAATTTCATGAGTATTCATTGAAGAAATGAATTTATAACAAGCGATAAGGAATGCTATTTTGCACTCGATAATATCCGCGTATTTATACGAAATACGTTCGGTTATCAGTCAAAAGCGCAAGGAAATTTCTGCAGCAACATAACACCGGTATGACCTCTCAAGGTCACATCTGATGTAAAAATGAAAAGAAAATATTTTCAAAAGTTTGCTTCAGACATTATCTCTTAATCATTAAAAGGCTTCTTCCAAAGTTTTATAAAACTATATGAAGGTTTGACAAAGTAATTGATGGGGCGCATTAAGTTTGCGCGCTTTTGGGGATTAATTTTTTTTACGTTTGGCAAATTGCGCACATTACATTTGCGCGCATTTATTTTACAGGTAAACTCAGGTAAAAATAACGGTGATACAAATAAAAATAATATGAAAATAAAATGACTATAATTTGTTAATTTTCATAATAAATATGACTATACATTATTAATTTTGAAAATATTTGTTAATTCAAATTGTATATGATTCATATTGAATTATAAAACAAAGTATTGAGTGATTATGATAACTTCCGTTATAGCTTAAGGCATACATGTAACTTCATTGCGAATATTTCAGAGTGAATAGTGATCAACGAATAGTGATCGTTTTTACATCGCGATGACCTTGGGGTCATTCAGATGTATTGCTATCGCCTAGATTTCCATTATGTAAATTAGTTTTGGGTTTGTAACCGATCTATAAACATGATAAATATGCGCACATAAACGAATGCAAAATAACATTCCTTATCGTTTGATATAAATACATCTCTTCAATGAATACTGATAAAAATATTTTTGTTTACAACATAAATTAATAATATGAAAATGTTTTGTAGTTAGATATATATATATAAGTAAAAAATCATTGATAATATCGATGCAGACGTACCGAAAAATTGTGTTAAAGCATGCGGAAGAATATCTCAGAGAACTTTTTGCGAGGACCGGTAACTCTGTAATTGTTTTTGCGGGAAAATATGAATGCCTACTCGTATCCAATCTTAGAAAAATCGAATTTTTACAGAAAAGTGTCCACCATGTATACTGAGTTGTATCACTACAATATAATAGTTATTACGGTGAAGTTGAATTTCCTGTCATTTATTCATCATCCACGCACGAACTTGTCTCAGAAAAAAATATATCTCTGTACATTAACCTCAGTTTCAGGTAAAGAGATATGTTGTTTTTTTTTGAGACAAGTGCTTTTGACCATCCTCAAGAACTTGTGGTCATCCGATGTTCAGTACTTCAGTACTTTGATTAAATTAGTAAATAACAGATTATTTGATGGAGCAATTCAGAAAATACCAGGATGGAGAAGTTAACGGACTTTCATTTCTCAAAGCAATTGGCTTCAAATTTTCGGCACGTACCGACATGCAAATTCATGTACTATCAGTACTTTTACTTTTTAGATTAGTTATGTTTTAACATTTCAACATTTTTATCTGTATATATTTCTAGGATTTAGTGCTTGTGCATAATATAACGGACTTATCCTGCTCGAAATCCCACTTCCACCTCATCGTTGGTGAGCAGGGGACTTAGACTAACGGAACGAGTAATTGTACTAAGTCTTGTAAATAATTGAATAAATTAATAAATAAATAAGTATTATTACCTGTATTTACCTGCGTTCAATAAGAAAACTTTGGTCGTAAAAACCTAGTATGGTCACATTTTTGTGAAATTGAGGTCAAAGGTCAAACCTTGAATATGGGAACAGTATATCAATATATATGTTCCTGCTTGAATATACCATAAATTCAAACATGAGACAAACAGATGGACATTTCAGTAATATGCTACAAAAACAATCACAATTATAAGTTGCAAAGGATGTCAAAAAATGGCGCTAATTTTGAACCTTCTGATTGTTTTTCCATTTATGACATGTATAGAGTATAGTAAATGTAGATGTAACCTTGACCTTTTCACATCGATTAGCTATTACTTTGCGTATCATTTTTTCTGAACAACATATATAACCAAATTATTTTCTAATTTGTAATACACTAGTTTCTCAATATATTTCAATTATTTTTCTACCTTTCTAAAAACCAAAATGTTGGCACTAAGACCGTGTATCCATTCTGCATCCAAAAGGATGTGTCTTTTGAATCCGTATTGAAAAAAAGAGGCACGAGAGAAATTTTTAGTTTCTTGTTTTTTAACACAACTATTTGGATTTTATCCATTTAAATTGACGTGCAATATCCCTATTGAGCTACGTCAGATAGAAATCGAGTTTATGCAAGTGCACGTATACGTACTGACATGTATAGGACTTTGATTGATTTCGGAACATTCTATTACGAAATAAAAAGATGAATTTTGGTCTGTTTTGTTGAGTTCTTATATCAACTCAATTTTCAAACAGTTGCAGCCTTTGGATAGATATATTTTTTAACAAGAAATAAGTTAACAGATATATTGATATTCATTTGCATAAGGTCGCATTTTTGTCACTCAAATATAAAGATACTGCTTTCGAATTATATCTTTTCTTGTTCTCAAAGAAAAATGCGTAAATTTCCCACTAAAATACTGCCGACTATAAGTTTAATAATTATGTTCGAGAATGGTATTTATTATATGGTTTCAGCATTCCGAGGACCCTTGATGAAATGTGCATCGAAAATGTTTACGAAGAGAGCATGAAATTGAACAAAACATTAAGGGTAGCCCGTAAACATGCCAAATTAAAAAATGTGACCAAAGAAATTTTTATGACCAGACGAAAATAAAAAAAGAGATATTAATCTATCATTTTAAACAATTTCTAGCTGTGTGTTATTTCGGAATCGGTACATTAACCTCGTTAATTAAGCGTCTTTTTCGAGGACAGTTGCAGTACTATATATATTGTACACATTACACAGACACAATTATTATACAATACCAGAGACATATGAAACAATTATATGTCTCTGACAATACTAATCATCCACATAAAACATGTTTAAAATACAATACCTCTTGCAAACAGACAACATCAGCATCTATCTTGGAAAGTTGTTTCGAAAGGACATCTCTGCGCTGGTCAATAAATGGTAATTGCTGAATAAGTGCAGTATTGAATGTTATGAATTTGTGGACGGTATCAAAACTGACTACTCTTAAAATGATATCCATGCTTTGAATCACTAATATTATTCTAGTCATTTCTAGGAACATTCTTGTTATTTTCATGAAAAAAATGAAATATTTGTCCGAATTGATTCAGCTCGACGTTATCATATAATCAAGAAATTCCAAATGCTGTTTACTTTAAATTTAAAAAAAACCGGACGTGTCAAAGTTTTAAAATGATTCCTGAGGTCGATTTTCGGTTATTTTCGACTTTCTTATATGTACTTCATTCGTCGATAGTAATCTGGTTTTTGGTTACAACTATTACATGTATTCGTACACAAATTAGACATACTTATGTTCAAATGTAGCTAAAAGGCACATATTTGCATATAACTTCCAAATGTGCACGTACGTCAATATATTTTATACAAAAAAAGATTTATTTTCAGTGAATCTCAAACCGTTTTAACGATTTGCAATGTGCTGCCTTATTTCTCAGCTAATATGAAATGGCCGAAACTCTTGACATGCAATACTAAAGGTTTGTCAGGTTTGCACAGGTTTATAGGAATTATAATCTTATTCAAGGAAAACATAGTACAATGTAGAATATGTGTGTATCATTACAGAATACTAGAATATTGATACTTCCTCAGTTGTTAATACTTTAGCCATTATGTCTAGCATGTATGTGCTATCTCGTAACACGTCCAAGAAGTATAATATCCTATATGTGTTCCCCTTTAGGACAGGAAGAACGGATATTTTCAAAGAAGTAGAATTTGCAGGGCTTTTATGTATTACAGTGCAGATTTAGTATTTAGTTCACCACTCTAGTATCATTTGTGCATGATCTGATTTAAATGTGCGAGATATTTTTTTGAGAAAAATCTTTTTGTATGTTTATGTTAAATTGTGCTCCACTTTGACAGCCATCTTGGAATTCTTGGAAGATTTGAAGCAGCATTACTTATTTAAGAATTGCATGCTACCTATTTTGTAATTTGATTAAGGTGTAAAAGTGTTGACCGAATAAAATGAGCACATCTTAAAACTTAAAGAATAAAATAATCACATCATCCCGAATGGCTTACAGGTGAAATTAAAGACCACGAATATATTTCACAAAAGAGAGGGGGCTGGATAAATTTCAGATTTTGGAGAAACAAATGCAAGCCAATTTTATAGAAAAATTAAATATTTCCCAAAAAAGAAAGAAGAAAACAAAGAACTCAGAGAAATATAGAAAGTTTTAAAAAATGTAAATCCTAAACAACAAAATCATTTCCCATCTACTATGGCATTTGAAAAAATGAAATATTAAATGTATAATATTCCAGAAATGATAAATAAACTTAAAACTTTTTTTCTCACAAATTGGGAATATGTCAACTAATTTTAACAATTATGGATAATAGTTTTGAAAAACTTAACAAGTATGTGCAATCAAAAAAAGTCCCTAGCCATGTTGAATTTGAACATATCTATTTTTTTCATTCAACTGACAAATCTAGCGCAACAAAAAAAAAATAAGAAAAAAGTATGAAGGAGACGATATTTTAAATATGTATAAAAATAATTTAAATACAATATGAAAAAACCACAGTTATGTCAATATGTCAAAAAAATATCTGCTACAATAACTATAAATGTATGTTTGATAATCTAAAGTAAAGGAAATAGTTCTTTCAATGAATTGCTAAAATCAAGCACATACAAGAATCTGGATACATGAACACGATATATTATCCACAAACTAGAGATGCCATTGATTAAAGACGAGAAGACAATGTTGCACTTCTCACAGTACACACTTTTCCAGTCGGGTTATTTTCTGGATATCATTTCCTCAAATGGAACGGTACTTTTCTCTACATTGGTTGATCCTCTAAAATTGTTATCCAGTGAACTGGTTATTTTTCAAAATCAGAGTTGTTTTATCATGTTTAATTTTCTAGTCTTGACTTCATTAATATTATTGAAATATCATACACACAATTGATCAGGCAAATTCAGTATGAATATGATCCAACATATTTTCATTTCAGCACCTCTTTTCAAAAGAATGTCAAATACTGATATCTGCTAATTTTGTTTTTGTCTGATGGTTTCTAATCTCGCTTATCTTTGTAGGTCGATTTATTCTGGCATTAATTTCGTTCAGATCAGTACCTTCTCTCTTCATTCCGAGAAACTGTGGGTTTGTCTTCTCTTTTTCCAAGACAACCGTTTGGTCGCTTGTGTTATTAATACGTTTACTTGCTACTGTTGGCTGTCGCAAGCGATTAATCATCGAATCTATTTCATGGCGGGAAAGATTACGGAAAGCTGGTGCTCTTGGAATCAAACATCCATAGTTTTCGTCATATTCGGAATACTTCAATACACCCAGTTTTAAATCATGGCTATCTTCTTTTTGACGTAGTTGATCTATTGTTGGATAAACTGACGAATGTCTCATATTGAGGCTTTGGGGAAATCCGCTGTAAATATGTTTTATATCCCTTTTTAAAATTTTGTTGAACGACGTTTGAAATTCACCCATGACGAAAGACAAAAACACTTTTTTTTTAACCGAGAATGTCCGTTTGGTTATTACAAGTATATCTTATCGTGTATCCAAATCAAATATTTAAAATCGCTTTAATATACATACATGTGATTTAATTAATTTGCTGTTGCACACAATAGAAGTATTGGATTTGGAAGGTTCAATCACCAAAGGCCAGTTATAAAACGTCTGGGTAACAAGAGATCAACGATTAAATTATTTAAAAGGAAAATGTAATTCATTATTCTAAATCGCAGCTGAAAATTTATTAACATTTAACAAAGAAATTTAATTCTTTTAATGACAGGAGTATAAAAGATTTAATTTCACGCTGTATATAGTTTACATAAATTGACCCGTCTTAAAGTAATTAACGATCAAAATATCGATTACAAAATAGTGTTATATATATATTTTATATGTGTGAACCACAACACATTGCAGTTTAAATCACGAATTATATGTTCCAATAATGTTGTTAGTTACAAAATCACCGTTCAAGATACAAAGTCAAATGGAAGGATACCTTTTGTTTTGTTTTGTGGAAGTTGTTTTCGTTATAGTAAAACACGGGCATAATCTAGGCGAAACAAAAATTTGGACGTTTAGAGTACCCTATTGATACTGTTTCTAATGATCCTAACTGTCTGCTGTGAAGTCTTTCTCTTGTCTAGATCAATGTTTACTCTTACATGGTCTTAACTTAACACTTTTTTTATATAGTCTCAGTCTTAACAGAACATTTTGGTAAACGTCTGACTGACTGACGACGATGGCGATGATGATGATGATGATGATGATGATGACGACGACGACGAGACGGTATACACAACGCTCTGAAATTTATTCCTTCGCTCAGCTATGTAAAAACTATAAATAACTGTTTTCCCAGTTGCGAAATCGAACTCTGCTGCATTTCGGTTTCAGGACAAAATCTAGGGCTATTCAGTCAAACTATCTATCTCAACATATACCCCCACGACACTTACCAAGGAGGACATCCTGGATAATCATAGGTCTGTTCTATGTTCCGTTGGAATCTCAACCAATGATGAAGAACTGGATCTTTCATCACTGTATTGGATACTCAAACTAATTAAGTGTCCTTACAAACAACGTTATAATTGCTGGGTCTTCGAAGTGCTCCAAGAAACCTCTTTCTAAATAATTAACATCAATTTCATAAACAATCAAAGCCGGGCTTCAAAGTTATTGTGAAACTACCTATATTCTGCAGTTGGCGTGAATCAGATGTGGATACTAAAAACATCCAAAGATCTTTTAGAGTACATCCAATCTAAGTCTCTCATCTTGCAAAAGTATTAAAACATTTGACTTTTCTACACTTTACACAAGTAGAATCATGTGCAAAACAGTGTAGCCGAGACCATTGATTGGCGCGCTAAAATATCCCATTGACTGGGTCAGATTAGGTGAACGTTCGTCTGTAACGCCCACAACTCACGACGTATTTATTATAAACATTTAAACTGTGGGGTTGCCAAAGGGTCTCAGTATATATACGAACTACAGTGCACAGTATATTATATACATATTTTATTTGCGATCATAAAATGTACGAAGTCGTCCATTACTATGTAAATTGGGTCGATTAAAAAAAAAGCTGAATATGTTTCTGTTGCCAAGGGTTTTTCACAAGTATAGTAGTTAGCAGAAAAGATCATCAAACTATACATTTTATACTGAACTGCGGCCAGGCTTAGCGAAAGGTCGTGCAACATAATCAGTCAAACAAACTTTATTAGATTAACTCGTTAAGGAACGATCGTTTTCATTGGTCAATTCAAACCTTCGACCTCACACCTGCGAAAATAGAACCCACGTACTATAAAGCTGAATGGACTGATCAGTATTCACGTAGCCGGTCAAGGTTGTTAAAAACTTCCATCGTCGTATTCACGTACATGATTGTGTTCTTGATTATCCCATGGCAATTCTAGCTTTTATACATGTGCATGTAAAATTTTAAACTTTAATCTTAACAGTCACGTCGAAATATTTAATTCAACTGTCTCCTCTCAATTGGTTCTGGATTAAGGGAGCTACCATTTTATTTTGATTGGGGGTGGGGGACTTTGATGAAACATTTTGTCCTGCATTTTTTTTAGTTGTTATCTCTGTCCTGTCTTTCTATTTTTCAGTCTGTTAGGTCCTGACTATATTTATTAGTTTATCCTGATTTTTTTACATAGATCGTCATCCTGCCTTTTTTTTGTCAAGTTGCTCACCCTGCCTTATCTTTTATTCAATGGACTTGATGAATTAACATTGTACTTGAAATGAAACCGTACTTAACTACAAAAATAACCAAATTACATACTAAAGATATTGCTCGATTTTTATAGTAAATGGGTTTGTGTTATAAACTGTCATGTTCATTATTCATATTCTTTCATAAGTTTTAGGATAGTGTGATTTTTTTTCTGATTTAGTTTACTTGATTTTGAAAAAAAAATCCCGAAATTCTAAGTAAATTCAGAACATGTAACCAGCCATGCTTTGTTTAGAGAAAAAATGGAGATGGCAAACCATGGCACAGTGGAAGGAAATGTACTGTATAAACTCCAGCGATATACTTTCTTAATTTATAATTAACTGTTTTGCTATCCTCGGTTGAAAATTATATATTGTAAATATTTAAATAGTTGCATAGAAAACAATCAGTTTTAAACAGTGTGGTTATTCACTAAATGTATTGATAAAAGGTGACTCCATTTTTGTACATACTTTTACAGTAGTCATCCTTAATTTCTTAATATTTCGTTTATAAGTTTATCATACATGTATGATTT